AATCTGTGCACCAGGCCTCTAGTATGCACATAAGATCTTTGGTTAATCTCTTCCCACCCTTTCCTCTGAGATTCATCAGTCTGTTCCATGTTTCCATGCCTGTGGTTTCCGCTCCTGCGTTAAGCATCTGCACCCTGGTGGTCAGTGTGTGTCATAGCTACTGGCCAGTCAGACGGTCACTTAAGCTTTTATATATACAGATTTCTGTATATATTTGTATAACATTTGTCTTCCCTTTGGAAATGTAAATGCCATGAGATACGAGAGCTTATCTGTCTTGTTCATACGGGTGGTTGGTCCATAGTAAGCATTCAGTATAAGAATTTTAAATGAGTGGCAAGAGACTCATTGAGCACAAAAGATAAAGAAAAGAAATAAAAAAGAATTCTGGCTCTGTTGAAATATGGCTGATTCTAAGTACAGGGCAATGAAAGTGATAGATGTGCCTTTGTCATCTTGCTTGTGCCTGAAATAAGGAAGTGCTTATAGACTGATAGGAACATGACAAAATAACATCAACGGACTCCCTCTGGTTACATTGGAGAGTACACTTTTTTTGGTATTTTTTGGAAGAGAGAGAGAGAGAGAGAGAGCGAGAAATATCAATAAGAGAGAAATAGCCATCAGCTGCCTCCTACAGGGGATGGAGCCTAAAACTGTGGCATGTGTCCTGATGGAGAATCAAACTGGTGATTTCTTGGTGCATGAGACAGTGCCCAACCAACTGAGCCACAGCGACCAGGGTAGAGAGTATACTTTTTATGAAGGAATATAGTGACTGGATAATAGGTTAGAAAATTATTATTCCCAACCATCAATGTAATAATATATTCCAGTAAGGATCCCACCCCCCTCTCTTTCTCTGAGAAAACAGTTGTGAAGGAATTAAGTAGAGAGAAATAATTCTGAAAGAAAGATGAATTCAAGTTATCTTGAGCATGAGAGTATACAGTAGACCCATTTATTTTACAGATATTCCTTTCCTATGAGTCCATTTCTCTACTGTGGTCAGCCTTGCGGATATGGTGGTGAAAACAAAACAAAACAAAGGACAGCAACAACAAATTCAGAGGAGGTCACTGTTCTCATCAATTTACATGCTGATGGGGAAAACAGACAGCACACAAGTAAACTAAAAATGGGCAATATGCTCAGAGGAAATAAAAAGGACAGCAATTTCTCTCATGAGAAGAGCCAACTTCCCTTCTTACCTGGTGACAATCTGAAATATAATTGTGAGAACCAGACCAGTAATGGACAGCGCACATCCAACGTTGGATAATTCCTCTAGGCCAGGATAGTTATAGTCCTTTCTATAACTCTGGAAAATAAGACAAGATTACTATTTTAAAGTAACCATTAATGAAATGCCTACAAAATCATGAAAAGTTACATTGGTCAAAATAACCAGAGAGTTGCCACATATGTGTTCATTTTATAACTGTTGATATATTTTTAAAGGAAATAAATTAATGACCCCTTTTGCTAAGCAGTTTACATGAAGTAAGACTTGACAGCAGGTTTTTTTGTGTGTGTGTTTTTTAACTAATTCAGTTAGGGAAAACATATATACTGCTCCTCACTGTCTAAAATCAAAGTTGTTGGAGGAGATCTCAACTGGCTGGATTTACTTCATTTATCCATTACATTATTTTTTTTTACATATATTTTATTGATTTTTTATAGAGAGGAAGGGAGAGGGATAGAGAGAAACATTGATGAGAGAGAAACATCGATCAGCTGCCTCCTGCACACCCACTACTGGGGATGTGCCCGCAACCAAGGTACATGCCCTTGACGGGAATCAAACCTGGGACCCTCCAGTCCACAGGCTGACGCTCTAGCCACTGAGCCAAACCGGCCAGGGCCCATTACATTATTTTTATGTGTAACTTTAATCCAAGGGGAAATTAGCATATCTAAGCTGTTGCCCTAAAAATAAAGTTGCAGAAATATTCTTAAGGATATGGAAACTTGTTCATATTATCCTGTCATATTTTAAAGGTCTAATTTTTATGTAATACTAGAGGCCCGGTGCACTGGGGGCAGGAAGGGGGTCCCTCAGCCCAGCCGGCACCCTCTCGCAGTCCAGGAGCCCTTGGCATACATCCTTCTCGCAGTCTGGGACCCCTTGCTTCTTACTGCCCACCTGTGCGCTGCTCCTTACCACTGGGTTCGCTGCTCTTAGCTCTGCCATGGAGGCAGGAGAAGCTCCCACCACCCCACACACCCTACCCCTTCACTCGCTAACCGTGAGTCCGTGAGCCGGTGAGCCCATGAGCCTGGCTTCTGGCTGAGCAGTGCTCCCACTGTGGGAGCTCACTAACCACCAGGGGGCAGATCCTGCATTGAGCATCTGCCCTCTGGTGGTCAGTGCACATCATAGCAACTGGTCTACTGGTCATTTGGTTGCTTAGGTATATATATATATACAGATGTGCTCCAATCCTTCCACTTCCAGGGAAAGGGGCAAAGAAGGATTGCTGAAAGTGAGAAGCGGGGCAGCAGGGTGAAATTTTTTGCGGGGGGGGGGGTGTTTCCTCCTGATGAGGGGCTTCAAAGGACAGCAGCCTACTTCTGCTACCCTCTGTCTCCAGATCGGGGGGTGAGGACCAGTGCAGATGGAGAGTTGGGGACAGCATAGGAAGGTTTGGAGGTACTGGGGGAGTAAGAGGGACCAGCAGATGCCAGAACAGAGGAAAGGGTCTACGGAATCAGGCGGGGTCCGCGAGGGTGAGTATAGACTAAGTCCCTTCCCCAGACCTTGCCATCCCAGGTGGCTAGTGGGAGGGGTCCATAGGGAGGTGCTGAGCCCTGTACACTTTGTGTCTGAGGCTCCAGAACATGTGGCCAACACGCCCCACCCCAGCCACCCCAGCAGAAGCCAAAGTGCTGCCATTGGGAATGCGCTGGCAGACACATAGATTGTTTTTAAGTTAATGCTTTTCATTCACTCTGTTTCCCACTTGTTGTTTTTTATTGAAAGGGCAGATTCTGCTGGTATGTGTCCCTTTGAGGGGGCAGCAGGGGGGTTCTCCACAGTCAGAGATCCGATGAGAGACAGAGACAAAAGGCCCAGCGAGACATGGGGAATGAGTAAACAGATCAGAGAGCAAGGAATAGGAAGCGAGATGCACAGGGCGATACAGACACACAGAGAACCCAGGAAAGCTCAGGGAGGAACACAGCCCTGAGGGCGGAGCAAGTGTGCAGAGAAATCCTGCTTCAGGCAGACTGATCCCTCCATCCCTAAGGCCCCTGGGCTGAGCTTGCTCTCCTCTGTGCTCTGGTTCCGTTCAACGTAGACATGGCTGAACTGGCCTCAGGGAAAGGGCTGGAAGGATGTGGCGGGCAATGGACTGAGTGCGCAGGACCAGGGTCACCCAGGGCTAGGGATCCCTGACCAGACAGAGAGAGGAGGACCTGGAGGCTTCCCTCTCAGGTCCCCACACACCTTCTGGTTTTGAGCGAAGCCCGAATCCCAAATCCTGGGCCTCCACTCTGGAGAGTGGCAGCCCTGGCCTGCTGTGCCGCTTAGGGTGAGTTCCCTAACCTCTCTGAGCCCTGGCTATGCCACCTGCAGGAGAGGAGTGCTGGTGGCTGAGATTCAAAATGTCTCGGGAAGAGGCGGGTGGGGGGGACGTGGAGACAGAGCAGGTCTAGGACACCTCCGTTTGGCGGTCACATCTGAAATCCCAGGGATTTCTGGCCTTGGCCGCTGCTCCGGGCTCAGTTTATGTAGGACTTTTGCAGACGGGACAGCTGGGCACTAGCCCTTCCTTGGCAGCTGAGAACCAGTTCAGCTTCCCCCGCCCCACCACGCCTCCTCCCCTCATGGGTGCCTGGTACTCATGAACCTTCCCACTGGCCAGTGTAGACACACGACTGAGTGTGATGAATTGAATGTCAGTAAAAAATTTTAACAAGGATGGGGTCAAGGATAGGTAACCAGGCATAACTCCAAGTCTCCCACTCCCAGACATCAGCGTGTCAAGGTCCTGATTAGACCCTTGTAACTGTAAATCAAGGACGTTTGTGGTTCCTGGGGATAAAAGCTCGTGGAGCTTTGTGCTCAGGGCTGTTACAGGAGGAGAAAGCCTGTGGCAGTCACTGGCCAGTTCAATAAGTCCTTGCTTGCTGTTTAAGACCTAATTGGAGTCGGTGGTCTTATTCTCATGAATGCTGGTCCACAACATGAGGACACACAAAAATACCCCAGGCCAGCTGTGTAGACAGTTGGGCAAACACAGACACAGGACACAGGGTGCTGTGGATGGGGATAGAGCTTCCTAGCCCGGTGAGAGGGCTCATTTGGCGGAACAGCGGCTCCATGGGCACGTTCACCCCAGGCGCAGCTCCCAGGCCCAGAGCCAGCAAACTGAAAGCCCGGGATAATTACAGCTAATTTCATGTGTGCAAACACAGCAGTGGAGGCTGAGGGCCGGCCACCCCTCCCCAGCCTGCCCCCCGGGATCCTGCCCCAGCAAAGGGGCTTTGCTGGCACAGCTGGGGCTGAGCGCCTGGAGGGAGGGTGTGCAGGCACAGAGCCCCCAGTACCCAGGGGTTGGGGTGAGCCCTCCGCCTCCAGAGCGCCCCCCTGCGATTACACACTCCAGTGCGAACTGCGGCCCTGGATGCCCTGGATGGCAGTCGCGACCCGGTTAGGAATTAGACCAGAACTTGGTCTGAGCTCCCCTTGGCCTTGTGCTGAGCGGGCCCTGGCAGCATGGGCCCCAGCATTTGGGTCCTTAGGTTTCTATTATCTTGGCCTCCTGAGCATTCTGAGCTTTCAATTGCGTGTCTGTCCTCCATGCACACCTTTCATACTGTGCACACCTACGAGGCAAGGGGGGTCCAAGACGAGGAGTCCAAGGGGAAGGAGAGAGGTGCGAATTCCTCCCATGTGAATGAAGCTTCACACTTTGCACTGCTAGCCTGAATCAGTGATCTAATGTTGTGGTTTCAGGAGCCTTTGGCGGGTTGGGTTGGAGTGGTGGCAGGGTAGGGTTTTATACTTCTACTAGAGGCCTGGTGCACAAAAATTTGTGCACTAGGGGGGTAGGGGGGGTCCCTTAGCCGGCCTGTGCCCTCTCGCAGTCTGGGACCCATCAGGGGATGACCACCTGCTGGCTTAGGCCCTCTCCCTGGGGGGATTGGGCCTAAGATGGCAATCAGACATCCCTCTGGCCGCCTGGCAGCCCTCGGGGGATGTCCACTTGCCAGCGGGGAGCAGACCTAAGCTGCAGTTGGACATCCTTAGTGCTGCTGA